CCTAGTAGATTGCATGCAAGAGACAGCTGATCAATGATTTTCTCTTATCATTGATGTTTTTATCTCTCTCCCTTTCTCTTTGAAATCAATAAAAATATTCTAAAAAATAGAAGTAACAGTGGTATATCTAAAATGTAAACAGAAGGAACAAGGATACTAATTTTTAAAAAATAAATCCAAAAGAAGTCAGAAAATGAGAAAAAGGAGTGAAGATAAATGGATAAATAGCCGAAACTGGTTTGGCTCAGCAGTAGAGCGTCGGTCTGCGGACTGAAAGGTCCCAGGTTCGATTCCGGTCAAGGGCCTGTACATTGGTTGCGGGCACATTCCCAGTAGGGGGTGTGCAAGAGGTCGATGTTTCTCTCTCATTAATGTTTCTAGCTGTCTATCTCTCTCCCTTCCTCTCTGTAAAAAATCAATAAAATATATTTAATAAATAAATAAATAAATAGATAAATAAAAAATACATATCACACACAAAATTATATACTTAAACTCAACATCACTAATTACATTAACTATCTATATACTAAACACTTAAAAACAAAACAGCAACCCCCAAAACAGGGAGTAGACTGTCTGACTGAATTAAGAACTAAGACCCACCTATACGCTGTTTATAATAGATACATGTACATATAAAGACAGATGGTTTAAAAGTAAAAGGATGGGACAAGATATGCCACACCAACACTAAGGGTCAGAACTTTGGACTAAATCAGCATAATGCGAAACAGGTTTCAAAACAAACAGGCCTATCAGAGATAATTTAGGGACATTTAAAAGTGATAAGAGTTCATTCAAGAAGAGACAATAATCCTAAATTTGCACCTCATAACAGAACTTCAAATATATGAAACAAAAATTAAGAGAATTAAAGAAAAAAAGACAATTCCGAAATTGAAGGGATTTTAACACTCCTCTCCCAGTAGATGCTAGAACAAATCGACTAACAACAACAACAAATATTAGAAAAAATATACAAAAGATTTGAACAATACTATACTCTCAACCAAATTAACTTCACCCAATTGCAAAATACCTTCACCGAAATATGGTGGGCCACAAAACAAGTAGAAATGGCCAGTGAGCACACATCAGGTCCTCAAACATTATTTGTCATCAAGAAAATGCTGACTAAAACCACAATGATATACCACTCCATATCTAGTAGGATGGCTAATATTAAAAAGATTAAGAAATAAGCATTGACAAGGACATGGAGCAAGTGAAACTCTCATCCATTGCTTGAGGGAATGCAGAATGGTACCAATTTGGCAAATGTTGTGGCCATGCCTTTTAAAGTGAAATATGCCCTCTGACCCATCAATTCCATTCCTATGTGTTTATTCAAGACAGATGAAAACATGTATCCAGAAATAGACTTTTCTAGAAACTTCACAGCAGCTTATTTTCAAGGAGACATCACCAGGAAACAACCCAAATGTTCACCAGAGGTGGAATACAGAAACACTTGACTAAAAAGAAGAAAGTAGGAATATATTCCACAACGTGGATATATCACGCACAAAATTCTGCTGCGTGAAAGAAACCAGACCTCCCCAAAGTACAGACTGCAGGATTCAATTTAAATCAAGTTCTAAACAGGAAAAACTAATCTATTAAAAGATAAATCAGAACAGTGGTTGCTTATAGGGTAAGGTGACCAAACGTCCCAATTTTTAACAATTTGTCCTGCGTCCCATGGCGTTTTTAAAAAGTCCCAATTAATCTTTCAAAAAATCGGAACTTTTTAAAAACACCACGAGATGTGGGACAAATTGTTAAAAATCGGGACTGTCCTGCCAAAAGCGGGATGTCTGGTCACCTTATTATAGGTGGGGGGTGGGAGGGTCCGAAAGGAAGTTTCTAGACGAGGTAATAAACACATTTTTATCATGCTAGGAATCCGAGTTACATAGCTGTAACCAGTTGTCAAAATTCTCTGAGCTGTAAACTTAAGATCTATACATTTCAATATATGTAAATTTCACCTCAATTATTGAAAAGGAGAAAGTACATCAAACAATAGTTACTAAAAACTCCCTAGACTCCCTCGCTACCCCCTTTCCCTTCCACCACACACACCCATCACAGCCTCTCTGTGGAACTTGGGGAGGTTTTCTTCCCAATGAACACACAGGGTGGCCAGAGATCATTGTTTACCCTCCCCCAGTCTTCACTCAGCTCTGCCCAGGCACAGCTGAAGGAGCTGATCCCAAAACAATGGAGCCCCAATCAGGGAGGCAGGTGCTTGTGGCTTCTGCTGGGCCCACCTCGCCTTTCCTGGTTCCTGGCGGCATCCCTGACCTGGGACACCAGGTGGGTAGAAAGGTGAAGCTCACCTCCATGCCAGCCACAGATGCACCTTACTGGACGTAAGGAAGGAAGCTTGACAAGAACCTGCTCACAAATCAAAGCTAATGCTGCCCCGCCTCCTCTGTAAATCATGTGAGATCCATCTGGGTAATGACTCCTCCAGTGTAATTCCCTATTAAGAGGCTTTATCTGGAGAGATAAGCAGCTGGTTTCTGTGTCACTAATTGCTGTCTGCTGTGATTTTAAAACATCTGCACCATTGTGCTCTTCATTTTCATATTCTAATCACCCTGAAACTTGAAAAAGGTACATCATTGATTGTTTCTATGGGTTAATTAGTACACAGTCTCCTTGTAGAGACAATTTAGAAGCAGCCCGAACCTCAATCAGGAAGTTTGTTTTAAAAATTAATAACATCGGTAGTGGCTGGAGGGACTGTTCTGCTCAGGGAGATAGTGGGACACTCCTGGTGGGAATGCCACCCTTTATTATGCTGCACAAAGGAGGGACCCTAACAGGGCAGGGGGCAGGAGAGTGGGGAGTGGTGGCAGGCTGGATGCGGGGACACAGGACCTGGCTCAGTCCCGTGGACCTGACCTTTGTCTGCTGCCTTCCCGCCTTGCTGTCCCACTCCCCCTCCTCTAACTAGCCAGAGTCCCTTACCTAGTTAGCACAAATCAGGATTTGATGAGATTAGCCAAAATATCTGGAGGTGAATGGAATTTGTGAAAGCTGTAAGAGCATGGGAGATCACTTCATACTTTCAAGTCTATTTGTTGTGCCTGAACCACCTCAACTATTGGGGAGGGAGGTGCCCATGAAGGGAGGGTGCTAAAGTATAAATGAAAAAGCTGGACCACATAGGACAGCAACACTGCAACCAGACCTTCTCAAACTTAAAAATTGCACGTGATTCACCTAGGGATCTTGTGAAAATGCAGATTCTGCTACTGAGGTCTGGGCAGGGCTGGCATTCTGCCTTTCTAACAATCTCCCAAGGCGGTTCAAGGTCAATCATTTGAGATGCATAGGTCAGGGCCTCGTTTTCAAGCCATTGACCCATGTCATTATTCCTCAGGTCCAGGGTTTGGGAGGGAAGCTTGGGTTCTGTGCGGGGGGATTGGAATCCCAGCTCCATAATTAAGGGGACAAGTCACATGGCCTCTCCTTTCTTAGCTTCCTCGTTGGGAAAGGAACCACAGTGCCCATGTCAAAGGGAAGTTGGAAGGATTAGAAGTTGATGAGTGTGAAGCATTTAACACAGCGCCTGGCCCACACAGTCACTGTGTAAATATAGCTATTAAATAGCCTAGGTGCCCTTCAGTAAACTGCTCTACTGAAAAGCAACATCCACCAGAAATGGGGGGTGGGGTGGGAGATACATTAACCAGGCAGAGACTCTAAGCTCAGCTGGTAGTTTCTTGCCCATCAACCATTCCAGAGGGCCTGGGGGCCACAGTCTGTGGCCGCCCCCACCCTTAACCTAGCCCATTGTTCAGAGCTCGAGCTCTTTCTTCACGGCCTTCCGGGAGCTACTTGAGGATAGGCAGTCCCGGGAGCTCACTCTGCCCAGAATGCATTGTTCTTCCTATCAGAGAGCTTTCCTATTTTGCGCTGCAGTCTGTCTGCCCTTGGAGAGTTTTGGCAAGCAGAAAGACAAGCATCCCTGCATGTGTTGGCCTGGATCCGAGGACCAGGCTCTGCAAGAGAGGGAATGCACCTCGGAAAAGGGGCTTCCAGTATCCCCCCACCCAGCAGTCTTTTGCCACCTCCATGGTGCTTTTCCTGCGGTCTGGAAATGTGCTATTGTGAGGGGGAAAACATGACAAAAACAGGCTTTCAACTGTGTGACACAGAAATAAGAAAGTTGCCTCTCAGCAGATCTGGAAGCCGACTAAAGGAAATGCAGAATAAGAGAGAAAATGGTGTGGAGCTGCAGGGTGGCCACTCCAGCAGCTGTGGGTAGGCTCGCAGGGGCTAATGGAGAGCAGTGATGTCACTGCATCCTTCCAGCGGGGACCAGGAAGGCTCCTGATTGAGCTATTCAGGTACTGGCACCTGCTAACTCAGAATCTCCCCAACAGCACCACACCGCCTCTTCTCAGCAGCAGCTCTGACCTCCCTGCCCAGGCTTCTCCGGGCCCCAGCTGGGTGGTGGGAGCCCTGGGGGACAGAGCGGAGATGAGCACACAGCCCTGGCCTCCAACATATTCTGCAGGCAAGGCACTGAGCAACTAACTCATCCTGACATGAAGAGCTACATAGAGCCATCGTCAGAATCCAAAACTTTGTTAGCTCTTTTATGTGGACTGGTTCCTCATGCCACTCCCTCAATAGGGGGAAAAAACAGAACATACTGTTGTTACTTTGAGAATCGATAGCCTAGAGGAAGTGGCAAAGGAATGGGGTCTGGGGTGGACCACACATTTACATCTGTATCTGTAAGAGGTATAAAACTTTAAGCACATTGAGAGGCAGAGCACAGTCACAGGGGATCTGGTAAGGTGAAAGAAAGCTGAATGAATAAGCAGAGCATGTAGTTCATCTGGCCAAACACAGGGCATTTTCCAAACCTGCCTGAGGACAAGGATCACCAGTGGCCTCTGTAAACACAGTTCATCAAGCCTCTCTCCTGCAAGTTCAGAATCATGGTTCTGGGCTTGGGTCCAGAGATCCCTACTTCAGTTGCGTCTGGTAAACACTTGGTAACGTAGAAGCTTCTCCACCGAAGGGGCTTAGAGTTGTTCAGCTCTGTTCCCGTGTGTGTGTGTGTGTGTGTGTGTGTGTGTGTGTCCGCGCACGCACACGCATGAGGCCGGCGGCAGAGAGACTAGTGTGAGGTCAGTCAGGGTAGCATGAGAGGAAAGGGCTCAACAATCAAGCCCAAAGATTTCATCTAGCTTTTGCTTGTTAGAGGAGGGGAAAAAAAAGATGGGAGAGGGTGGAGGAAAAAGTATTTTTTTCCTCCTTACCTCATGTTTCCTTTTTATAAATGATTTTTTACTGCAGAACTGGTGCTTTTTGCCATTAGAGCTAAAATAGCTGTTGATTATAAATGGAGTCTAAAATGTCATGAAGATGCTGAATTTGCCTGAAAATCCAGCTTGCAAAGCTTCCCATGAGCAATGCAAACGGCAGGAATTTGGGGCATCATTCATTTGGCAAGAGTCTCATCTGGAAGGTGACACTGACTCCCAAAGGCCAGGCAGACTGAGCGAGGACTGGGGTGCTGGCCACGTGGGTAGGGGCTGACCTTTGGATTCATAGCCGCCCCTATCGTGCTGCAGAACCACTTCATGTCCTGGGTGGGTGTGAACGGACACAATGATGTTCCAGGTCAAGCTGTGCTGACTACCTCCAGACTCTCCTACTTAATCTGCGCTCCTTAACTTTCCCTGGAGGCTCCCTGTGGAAGGCAGCATGGTGCCTGACACTTGTGGGCTGTCTTCTCTCTTTCTCTGAGAGGCAGTGCAGCAGAAATGTGCAGCAGGTAGGTTGACTGGAACCAAATCTTATTAGCTATGTGACCTTAGGCAAGTTGCTTAACCTCTCAGTGCCCCAGGTTTCTTACGTATAATACAAGGATAATAACATACTTACCTCCTAAGATCAATAGGCAAACTGAATACGTCACTCTTATGTTAAAGCACTTGGACCAGTGCCTGGTGCACAGTCAGGGCTATCCCGGTACTCACTATGCAATGGGCAGCCCCAGGGGCATGCTCAGGCTCAAGAACTGGAAGGACCTAAGTTCAAATCTCAGCTTTGCCTCTTTGCCTACTATGTGACCTGGGACTTCTTCCTTATCTCTTCACCCTAACAATGGGATAAGTAATGCAGCCTGTCTAATAGCATTGTTTTCAGAATTAAACAAGACAACAAGAGTAAAATGCATTCACAGAACACATTGTAAGTGTTCAACAAATCCCAGTTATTACTAACATTAAAATCGTATGACTATTCATTATTGGTATCACCACCCATCAAAAACCCAGTTCCTTAGTAAGTGGGGCCAGGGAACACTGTACCTTCACCCTTAGTTGTCCCCCATTTATCTACATCCCTTGACACTCATTCTAGCTCAAATTCTTGAGGTGTGACGCCAGGTCTGGAGGAGGTCTCTGAGGACCAGAGTCACACTAACTGGTTTATAGGAGAATCCAGTGCAAGCAAACTCAGGGGCCAGGATTCTGGGAGGTTATTCTGAGCCAAAAGGTTTCGCCTTAGTCTTTCCTGCTGTACCTGGGGCCTTCCTGGAACACACATCTCTTACAGTGTTAATGGACTGTCTACAGGTTGTAAATTGCACACAGATTCTTCCCTTTGTCTTTGACTGTCACGATTTAGCTTAGGAGGGGTTTTAAGCTCTTTCTGCATCAAAGCAGCAAAAGTTGGACATGGTACAGAGTTCCTGTTGGGGTGCTTTGTGGTGGGGGTGCTGCCATGCTATACAGTCATGGGAACAAGATGTTCTGCAGATTATCTATAGTGAGTGCTGGCACCGGTCTGTGGGCGTCCTTGAATGGTGACAGGAAGTGTGGATGCGAAGTGAAATTCTACATCCACATTAGGCCGGAGCCTGGAGCATCTGATTCCATTCATCCTGGAATCATCCATTAAGCAAACATATATTTGTTCACACTATAGGAGAGGCACAGTGCTCTCACAAAGTTACAGAATCGTAGAGTTGGAGGGCTGTTAGAGACTGTCTTCTCCCTTTGCAGCTGAAGACACAGAGTCTTAGAATACTAATGCTTATACCCATGCAGAGAATCGGGGGTAGAGTTAGTCCACCATCTTCTGACTCTACCTCGAGCTGGTCCTTCTACTACCCTTGGGGGAACATCCTCTGTAAGGATTCGAGGTGCAAGGAAATGCAATGAAACCCTCTGATCTGATGTTACTATCTGGGTAGCTGCAAGTCCATGTGCTTTGCTGAGCCTCTGTGTACCTGCTGGACCTCCCCCATAGCTCTGAATTCTTCAACCCACCTCCCAAGGTGAAGCTGAACTGTTGCCTTTGACTCGGGCTGGTTGCTAGACTATCTCATTCAAAACTTGCACCTGCCTTTTTCTTGGCTACTTGTCAGCTTTGGTTAGAGAGCTTGGCCTTGATCATTCCACTTTCTCCTTAAGAAGGTCCCTTCTTGGACACCTGCCTCACCAATTATCGCTGTAACAGCAGTAACCCCTACTTTGGCCCACTAGCTTAAACATGTCCCAGGCCGAGTAATTGCAAGATAGTTTTCAGCAATTCCCTGTATCCAAGGGATAGGGGCTGAGGGAACCAGGAAAGCCCTTAGGGACCACCTTGTCCTTCAATGAAAGCATTACATCCCAGAAAGCAGAAACTCCTCACCCTGAAATTTCCTGATGACATGAATTAACCATCAGGTCAAAATCATACAGTGAAAGCTTTCTTCATTGGCCTTGTGGATGCTTAGCTGTGTTGGGTCTTTTCTTCCAGCCTTTACTGATTATGCACCAATGCACAAGGTCTTCACAAACAAAGACATCCCATTTGCAGCTACAGGTAAACAGAAATCCACCTTCAATAACATCCACATCCAGATTGATGTCTTAGTCTAACCTCTTCCTCATTCTAATGCTCTAACAACTCCCTACTTCCCCAGACCACAGTATTAATTTTATTTAACCTTTATTTAATTAATATAGGTTTCAGTGTTCATTCAACCCTTAAGTAGCTGTGTGACCTTGGGCAAGTAACTTAATCCTCTGGCCATCCACCTTTCTTTCTGTAACAAAGCAATGATCACTTCAGGCCTGCCTGCTTCTCCAGGTCACCTGGAGCATCTAATGGATGTGAAAACATTTTGGAAACCATAAAGCACTATATAAATGCAGGTTATAGCAGTTGGTTGTTATTGCTTGGTTGAGAACTCCTCTAACAATTTTGAAAAGCCAAGAATGCTGAACACACTCCCTGTAAAATCAGCAGGAGATGCAGGTGTAAGTTGTGATACGTTTTAAAATAATTTTCAAAAATCACATTATTTCTATACACTTTCTAAGGACTCCTAAAACCCCACCTCCCCTCTTTCTCCATCTCAGCTGAAGGGGAGGGTGGAAGTAAGGGAAGGGAATGGAAGACAAAAACAACAGCCTTCCCCACTCTTGCAATAAACTCCTAGCTCTAAAGCAGGTTTTATTTAGTGTGCCATAAAAACAGCCATTTCTCCTATCATAAAAGGAGCCTGACTACCCAGCCTCGTTTTTCTGCAGTGAGTCTGCAGGTCGAGTGGGTCCCACTTCTGGAGCAATACTGCCCTGTCCTCCTCAACCCTACTCACCCTCCCTCGCCGCCTGTATGTACCGGGAAATGAAAGGCAATTTTAAAGTATTTTATTATGTGTGAATTTACAGGGGCGAGAGGGGGGAGAGTATACATTTTTGGAGATGGAACTAAGATTTAATTGTCCGTCTGTTTTATGGTTACTGCCTCATGGGAATGTACCAGGGAGACTGGGCACTGTGGTTTAAAAAAAAAAAAAAAATCCAGGCAGGATTGTAGCAACTTTCCTAGCCATTAAAAAGGCCCTGGAAAATTTAGGTCATTTTGGTGAAATAAAAAAAAAAAAACCTACAGAGGCCCAAGAAGGGAAAGAAGAATAGTGGGTTCCTAAGCTGAGCCTACTTATCTGTCAACTTGAGTTGTGCTCTTCTCTCTTGGGCCTTGTGAGTGACCAAGTTCTTCTGAATTACCTGGAAAAACATTTGGTGCCATACACAAGGTAATTTACTAAAAGGGGACCTAGATGAGTCAATCCTCCTCAAGAGAAGTATTTTGAGAGTCTATTTCTCACTAAATAAATAGAGGAGTTGGCATTGAGGCATCCCTAGAACTATGGTGAATCTCCAGGTTTCTTCTGAATGAACTAATGTCCAGCCACGCTGGCAGAGTTAGTTCTTGGACTGCAAGGACAGTTCATGACACAGTGAGCAGAAAGCATTCAGATGAGCATTAGGAACCCTGAACACACTTCTCCTTTGAAATACAGTTTCTCCATCCATAATACAAAATAGCTAGTGTGCTAGAGGAATGTCCCAGGCTCTTCTGAGCTCCAACATGGTAAACGGTAAAGTACAAGTATTCTTAATTTGGGATCAAAGTTATAGAAGGAACTTCATTCTTGAAAGCTCTAAATGCAGCTAAGGTAATTTCCTTTCTCTAGTCTTTTTTTCTTTTTCTTTTCTTTTTTCTTTTTTTTCTTACAGAGTTTGCTTAAGCTGAATCTAAAACAAAACAAAACAAAACAAAACAAAACAAAAAACAAATAAAAAAACACCCATAGGCTGTGGATGGCATTTGACTTCTGGATCCCAAAGCCTGTTTATCAGGGGGAAGAAAGAAGTGAAAGCAGCCTGGGGAAATGGAAACTCAGAGGTGCCTAACCTCCAACCTGACATCATTTGTTAACTAGATGGCAGTTGCCCTCTTAGTACAAGTTGAAAGGAGGCCGTAGTCTCCAGGGTCCCACATATACAACTAGGTCATCCTGAAGTGTTCCTGTTTGTGTCTGTCTACAACCAAATAAAATGTAGGCTCACAAGGAATTCCTGAAAAGTAGAAAAGTTGACAGAAGGATTTAAAGAGGTCTGCGGATTGGGTCTTCTGAAAGGTACAGAATTTATATAAATGCATCCAAAACACTTAGTTTCTTAATCTTCAAACCACCACCACACTGGGTTATTTCCTTCAGGGCATCAAAGATCCATCCTTGCAATAGTTCTTCTGCGGCAGCAATAGTGCATGGTGGAGAGGCATATGGGTTTTAACTTATAGATAACTCATCTTAAATATCAACACATGCTTAAAGCTCTATGTAATCATAAGGGGAGCCTGAGGATTCAACCACATCCCTAGATGGAGGAAAAGCAAAGTACATCAAGATAACAATTTAGTGTTCAATGCTAAGGCTCCAAGCTCAATTGTACTAGAATAACAACCAGTTAACTTTACTAAATTCTGTCTCCAAATGCAGTAGTCTAACTTGTTAGCTGGCTCATAAATGCATACTTTTGGCCATAAGGATGATTGATTTAAAGGGCATGGCTGGCTCAGGATAAACTTATCCCAAGTAAATGGCTAAAGGATTGTGAATCAATGCCACGCAAAGACTCCACAGCAGTGGGAGGCCTGCCTGCTTCCATAGAGTGCAATGCTAGATCCCTGGTCTTGTGGGCACACATCTAAACAATCTGTGCTCAGTTTGTTCATCAGTTCATTGAAATACTGTCCCTCCTGTCCAGGGCTAAGCCATATTGTACAGAAGGAAAGGAGTTAATGCCACACAATGGTACTGAGCTGAAATCTACTCTTTTTGTGGTGTGTGTGTGTGTGTGTGTGTGTGTGTGTGTGTGTGTGTTTGTTACATATCCTTCAGATGCCCAGAGGGCAGAGGATCATACTCTCTGACCTTCAGTAACTCACTTCACTTCCTTGGGTGTTTTCTCCAACACAAAACCATGGTCAGATGATATGATTTCTGAAGTTCTTCTCAGGACTGCCATTCTAGAAAATAATAACATTGTGACACCATAGTTCCTTGCAATGTACACTAACCAACATGACAGCTGGCCTCTGGTAATAAGGCAAGTGGCTGTTTTTTTAAGATGGGGTTAATCTATGGATTGAAGATCAACCAGTGGAATCTCTGAGCTTTGTGTCAATTCCTTTCAAGAGGGATTCCTGACACTCTTTTTCTCGTCTTGTAGAGGATACTGTCTTATCCTAATGCTTATCCTAATGCTTCTGCTTCACCAATATTTTATAACTGCCAGCATCTTAAGTTAGAACATGTGCCATGTAATTATATTTCCTTGCCTTACAGATGCTGTGCCCCTTCAGCTTGAAAGAAGAGAGACACTTCACCCAGGGATGAGAACCGAACAGTGCTGTGTCTGCTAACTGGGGATCACTTCAGCGATGCAGGGAAAACACTATCATTAAAGCAGAGCCTTTGTCCTTTGGACAGCTGCTCAAAGAAATGCAGAAAATAGATTTTTAACGGGGCCACACAAAGCTAAGATTTTAACCCTAGTGACTTAGAGGAGGCGAGAAGAGATAATTACTCTAGTTCTTTATAAAGGTAATCTGAAACATCAACAATTTACATTCCAACAATGACTGTAGCTCACATGGTAACACTTGATGGAGCAGGAAACATGTCTTTTCCTGGGATCTCAGGAAGGTCCAAGGGCACACCTACTGTACACTTTATTATAGAAGAACTGTGGGCAAGTCAATTATCAGATTCTCTCTATTCTTTATTTGCCCATATATAAAATGGAGCATGAGAATGCCTTACACAGGATTATAGTGAGATGAAGAAATTAGATACTGAGAAAAAAAAGCTTGTATTTCTTTTTTCATTTCTTCATGTGCATGTGCTCCTTACTGGAGTAATCCATGAGCACGTGGAGAACAGTGAGACATGGTAAGCCTCTTTGTTTTATTCTTACAAAGCAGAGCCATTGAAATGAAATGGTTACATCTCTCAGGCTCATAAGTTTCTGGTGGCTCTTGGATGAATAGAGTTCAAATTCCTCCAACTGGCCAATCAATTCCTCCTGCAACACATGTGCACTCGTAGACTGCTGCGCATCACAAAGTGCCCTCGAAGTGTGACACCGGTCATGCACTCTAGACCAGAAAGCCATTCTCTGTTACCCTTGCATGCTTTGTTCCCATCTAACAAAAACCAACTATGATGCCACACCCTTCCTAAAGCCTCACACTGCCGTGTGGCCTTCCATCCGCAGGGCTTCCATGTTATTTATTCTGTGTATCCTATAGGGCTTGCCACATTCTACCATATTACAGTATAGATATGTGTTACTGTTCTTCTTTCTGGACTATAAATCTTTTGAGGGGATCCTTTACAACATTTAGCACCTGTATGGACCACAATGATAAAAATAATGCAGAGACATTTCAGAAGTTGCCAAGCACTACTGAAAGCACAGTATTTTTGTTCCTTTGTCTGCAGGCCTCGCTCCGTGCACCAACATTAGTTGGGAATGTGACATGCGTCCCTTCTGCTCTGCCTTTAGCCCCTCTGTCATGGCTGCTGCAAGACCTGCTGCTCCTGGAACCCCCACCCAGTCCCATCAGACAGTGGCTGGCCCCCTGCTCAAAGCTCACAAAGCTGGGCATTGGAGGAGTTTAGCCCTTGGTGACCACCAATCAGTGATGCTGGAGACCCCTGGACTAGCAGTGGGAATGCAACTAGCTTCCCCTTCAAATAGCACGTGCAAGTTTTGTGAGCCATGTCCTCAACCATTTATTACGCTGTACGTAGGTCCTTCACAACTGACCTGCCAGTAGACTTAAGGAATTGCTTCTGTTTATAAATCAAGGATTGACTTTATTATGGGATAAAGAAAACTATAGATTTTGAGGATTAATTGGAGAACTAAGTATCTTAAAATTCTTGTAGCCCAATCACCTCCTTTTATGAATAAGGAAACTGAAAACCACAGAGGTCACAGACACCTAGCTAGTCAATGATGGAGCAAGGACTGAAATCCAGGTCTCAGACTGGTGAGGTTAGCCTAACACATTGTGGACCAATAGTTTTATTGCTAGCTTTACCCAGTAGCCAGATAAGTTTCTATTAAACAAGTACAAAAAAACCCAAAAACGTTTTACATAATTGTTAAAGGCACGCCTTAAAATTAAATACCTATTGCATTTTGAAGTTATTTATTACACGTTCTTGCAAGCTAATAACTTTTGAAAGTATGATACTTTGTAAAACACTATGTAATATGAAGCAAGAATTCTCTTGATCCGTCTGTAATGTGTTAATTTCCTCTATACCACATATCTGTTATTATTAGTAATATTTTAGTAGACATATTTGACAGATTTTAGTAGGAGAACAAAGGAAAAATTGAAAACATATGGCTATGTAAGCACAACGTTTGCAAAAAGTTAAGATGACTCTCTTAATGGTGGGAATTGTTTCTAGCTAATTCACTGCATTCTCAAGGCATAATTTCTGGAGAAGCCTGAGCAGAGGAGCCCTCCAGATTCCCAGTAAGGACTGTTGTCTTTGAGGGCTCTGGCACATGTGACAGGTACCTTCATGGTAGATCCTGGCAGAAGCTGCAAATCATAGTGGGCAACACTGATGGCCAGCAGCCACCCCTGTGATAAATCAGCCCAGAGATGATTGTGAAACCATTGGGTTCTTGCTAAGTCTCTTTTCCAACCTGCTTTTGATGCTGCCCCTCATCTGCAGGATTCTTCCTCTCCTGTTGAGCTTAACCAAATTGTAATCAGTCTGCAAGACCCAACTCAAGTCCACTTAGTCTCATAAACCTATTTTCATTCATTCATTCATTCATTCAAGATATATTTTTTTGAGCAATTACTAGATGCCAGGCCCCATTCTAGAATCTAGTATAGGAATATAGGAAAACAAACAACAAACTATATTTATACCTACATATATGTTTATGCACATACATGTATCTGATATATACATACATTTATTTACATGTAAGTATATGTAGTGTATACTCATAGGTGTATATTAATTAATCAAATAACATTGATTATTAAGAAGAAAATAAGACATGTTATAAGGAAAGTGTATAAGGATGAGGGATTTGGCTGAGACAGGCTGGTCAAGGATGCAAGCAGAGATGTAACTGAAGCAAACACTTCTCCAAACAACTACTACATATAATATAGAGTCAGAATCCTGGAGTTAATCCCTCCATTCCTTAGTGTGCCATTATTTTGATTCAATGAATATCTTTCAAGCACTAGCTCTACATGAGATCCCGTTGCTAGATGATGAGAACACAGAGATGAATGAAGAGGGGATGGTGTTGCCCTGAGAGCTCATGGTCTAGTGCAGGAGCAGGTGTCAAGGGCATTGATACTATGCTGCCTATGCTACTTCTTTATCTAAATCCAAGATGGGGCTGGCAGGTATTAGGCTTTAGGAGGAGGGTTGGCTGAAAGATGCCATCATTTCATTTCAGCTAATTCCTCCAGGAAAGTGAAGCTTCCCTTAAGATTGTGCTGAGCCCATGTGTAAGGTCTAGTTCAGTGACTGCACCTCAGGTAGCATCAAAGATATAATGCTGATAGCTAGAATACAAAGTCTTACATGTGCATGCCATATTATAGTAGTCAACTATTTTTATATACATCCATTGGTTAATTCTAAAAAAAAAAAAAAAAAAAAAAAAAAAATCTGTAGAGTTGAGCAAAATGGCCAGAATTAGAAACATTTAGTTAGATAGAACATGGAGGCTATTATATCCATCCAACTATGGGTTCTGATCTTCAGCATTTCTTTGCAATGGCTAACCCTCCCTGCTTCACTATTTCTAATGACAAGGCAGCCAGGATTCTCAAAGCAATGGCTTCCATTTCTTGGCAGCTCAATGGCTTGTTAGCAGTCAGATGGGATAAATTCTGTGTCTCCTGACTCCCAGGTCAACTGTCCTTTACACTAGGGCCCTCTCCCCAACGACTGGCCTCGTGGAGGCCCCATTCCTCAGGGGGAGACTGCCAATCCACCCTGGCGGACCCACTCACAAATACACAAGCAGAAAGCACAAGCAGAGCAGGATGACTAGATCGAAATGCAAACACACATTATGCAGAGTTACAGGCTGTCCTGTGGATGATTGCTTATAGATCGATGGCAAGGTTCATTGAATCAAAGTGTCTGGCAGCTGTTTATTGAGAAGAAAGTATGGATGGCTTAGCAGCATTGGAAGGATTTGGGCTTTCAAATGACTAATCTACTTTACTAAGCCTTCCAAAAATACAAACCGAGGGCAGAGTGCTCCAAGCAGGCCTGGCAAACAAGTCCATGGAAGGGCCCAGGAGCACGGTGGGGCCATCTTGGTGAGACAAGCCTGCCATGGCAAAGGACATGCTCAGGGCTGCCTTTCCTCTCCTGCTTCTTTAGCTAGCTCTGGCTGCTGGGAGTCCCAGAATTCATGATGAAGGCTACTGTCAGTCCTTGACACACAGCACCCACAACCTTCACAGCAGGAGGCAAACATTGGCCATGTTGGGGACAAGCTGGAGATGGTGCGGAAGAGCACTAGGCAATTCAGAAATCCCTGAAACTAGGAGGCAGAGCTCCAACTCTCCTGCTCTGGGTGGAGGGAGTGAGAAGTCAGAGCAGTGAACCCCTTGTACTACCCATGAGTGGGCAAAGGGGAGGGAAGATAACTCACTCATTAACTGGATTATAGAACCAGAAAGTCAGGCATTTAAATAGTACCTGGCCTTCTGCTTAAAGACGTGTTTTAAAGCTTTGTAATCCTCGGTTTAAATGAAATCTCAGCTGGAACATAAACAAATAAAGATGGTAAGAGCTGAGCCACCCTGGGATCAAAGGCTGGAAACACTAAGTATAAGGCACCAAGCCACCCCTTCCCAGGCAGGCATTCAGCGTGGGCCCCACACAGCCCTTGGGGAAAATCATTCCAAATGCACTAAGTCAAGCATCCTTCCTTTTATCAATGAGGCCTAGGAGGCTGGAAGAGATTAACCAGAGAACTTATATGCATAGATGCATAGCCCATGGACAGACAATAATTTGGGGAAGGCATGGGGAGGGGACTGGAACTGGGTGGAGAGGGTCAAGGGGGTGGGGAATGGGATAACAGTAAGACTATCAACAATGAAGATTTGTTTTAAAAGAATAAGAAGATGTGTTTGTCCCGCCTGAGAACCAAATCAGTAAGTGGGATGATTGGAAAAGAAGAGTGGTTGGCAGGAAACTTCTTGGAGTTGTCTAGTTGTAGATTTGGATCTTCACTCATGCTTACTAGCTGAGTGGCACAGACAAGTGTCTACTCTCCATTTCTTCTTCAATTAAATGAGGATCATAACAGCTCCTGAGTGGATTTATCACAAGGACAAATGAAGTAAAAGGAGTGCAATGTCTGGCCCAGGGCCCTGGGTAAGTGACCTTTCCCAAGCTTCCCCTTTCCCTGCTTTAACCACATTCTGTTCAAGGAAAGCCCAGGGCTGGTGTTGGCCCAACTCCTGCTCTGGATTCTGTACTTTTCAGCCACCTCCTATCTCATGTGTCTTAACTTTTGATTGTTGTTAACAGTTAATACCGAACACTGAGCCCTGGGATGGCCAATGTGAACTGGGCTAAGGGATGCCCAGAACGTTGATCACACCTATTTCTGGGTGTGTCTGTGAGAGAATCTCTGGAACAGGGGGACAGTTGAAAGAGTGGGCTGAGTAAAGACCGCCCTCACCAATGTGGGTAGGCATTATCCAATCTGTTGAAGCCCCGAGAAGAGTAGTCCCCTTCTCCTCCCAACCCGATCCCATTATCTGCAGTTTTTCTTTCCAGAGTTTCAGTTACCCACAGTCAAGCATGGTCCAAAAGTATTAAATGGAAAATTCCAGAAATAAACACTTCAAAAGTTTTAAACTGTGTGCCTTTCTGAGTAGCGTGATGAAATCTTACCCCGTTCCAGGCAGGACATGAGTCATCCCTTTGTCCAGCGCATCCACTTTGTATGCACCACCTACCCATTAGTCACCGAGGAGCCGTCTCAGTTATTAGATGGACTGTCACAGTATTGTGCAGAGTTTACGTGCAAGTCGCCCTTACTGTACTTCACAATGGTCCGAAAGCACAAGAGTAGGCGGTGCTGGCAATTCAGATATGCCAAAGAGAAGCCATAAAGTGCTTCCTTCAAGAGAGATGGTGAAAGTTCTCACTTAATAAGGAAAGAGGAAAAAAATGTAAGCGGAGGTTGCCAAGATCTACGGTAAGAACAAACGCCCATCTGTAAAACTGTGAAGAAAGAAAAAGAAATGCATGCTAGCTTTGCTGTTGTACCTCAAACTGTGGAAGTTATGACCACGGTGTGTGATAAGAGCTTAGTTAGAATGGAAAAGGCATTTAATTCGTGGGCGAAAGACATGAACAGAAAACATTCTGATTCATGGGAAAGGGCTGTTCCAGGAAGCATGAGCCAACACAAAGACTTCAGCAAGGGATCCCCCGAAACACGTGACTGCATTCACATAAGTTTTATGACAGTATATTGTTTGATTGTTCTATTTTATTATTAGTTGTTATTGTTAATCTCTGACTGTGCCTAATTTAAAAATTAGACTTTATCATAGGTAAGTAGGTATAGGAAAAAATACTGAATAGATAAGAGTTCTGTAACATCACAGTTACAGGCATGTTGGGGGGTGTTAAAATGTACCCCTCACAGATAAGGGATGATTATTGTACAGGCTTGCCTGGAAGATATGGTGTGTTTGGTTCCAGACCCCCACTATAAAGTGAGTATTACAATAAAGAGAGCCATAATTCTTTTGCTGGTGGAAAGTCTTGCCTTCAATATTTTGGAACCAATGAAACCAAGGGAAACATAACCTCTGTGAAGCGCAATAAAGTGGGGACGCAATAAAATGAGGCCTGCCTGTATAAGAGAAAGGCAGAGGAAGGGTGGATTTGCTCTCTGCTGGGCCTGGGACATCCATCTTCTCCTGGCCTTGGATGTCAGAGCTCCTGGTTCTCAGGCCTTTAGATTCAAGCTGAAACTTACTATCGTGGCTCTTCTGGTTCCCAAGCCTTTGGGCTGAACTAGGACACCACTGCTGGCTTTCCTGGGCCTCCGGCTTGCAGATGGCAGATCATGGGACCTCTCAGCCTCCTTAACCACCATGTGAACAAACCACACATGATAAATGTCTTTCTGAACACTGATCTATATCCCATTGGTTCTCCTCCTCTGGAGAGGCCTGACTAATACAAACCCCTAATTACTTATTATTATATGTGTTTATGCGTTTTTCTTCTTCTAAGCAATGCCCTAAGCCCCTTGGAAATGTGGATTCATGTTTCTCTTAACATAGGGCTGGGTACACTAGTAAGTGTTATATGTATACATTTTAACACTTACCGGTTAGCTGAATGACTTACACTCTCCACTTGATTGGAAAAAAGAAAAGATTTGCAGTGCTTCCCTGAGTCACTAACTGAAACCCATACATCTTCGGGGGATTGATCCTTGAATATATTTCTGAAGTTTGGATAGCTGCTTGGAGAGCTCATTCTGGAGCACAGTGAAGTGAAGGGAAATACAGTGGACACATGTCACCCATGCTTTCCCCTGAGGACGCCCATTGCACCAGGGATTTCTGATTGCCACACTGGGGATGAAGTGGACAATATTCATCATCATGAATTTTCACAATTGCATTCAAATGAATGTTAAGCACATATTGACAACGAAGTAATGACCTCAGTCACAACCTGAGCCATTTACTAAGTAAATTTCAGTATGTTTTAGGTGGACCTTTTGCTGTCTATGATTGGAGAAGGAATTAAAATAGCCCTCGATTCAGAAAAACCAAGTTTACTCCAGAAGCCCGTGCTCAGCACCTGCTCTCAGAAACCTGTGCCTGGGTCTTGGTATAAAAGCATTCAGAGAAAGTTTACTGCCATGCGTGCTGGTCTGGGAATTGAGTCCTGGGTTCGAGTCCTGTTTCTGTTATTAAATTACTTTGTAACCTAAAAGGGCTGGTCATAATGAACTTGAGCCTCTTCCAGATCTTAAAATCCCCCAAAACTCACTCCAGTCCCAAACCTGTCCTAATCAATAATGTCTGGTGGCATCCATCTTTAAGTCTCCCTATCACTTCCTACCATCATTTGATTAGATCAGCCCCTGAACAAAATGTCTCTCTACTTGAATCTAGAAGGTGATGATCATTCAAAGAGCCAAGATGTACAACATCCATGCATTTATCGCCAGCTTTTGGCTGCCATATAAACGGTGACCTTGTTCCTGCCCAGCAAAAACAAGCTAAACTGAACTAAAACCAAGCTGCAAACTTTGGTGTTGAAATGGCAAAACAAAATATGATGCATGATTTCCGCAGTGACTCAAGAGTACTACTCTGCGTTGCCTAAGAGCAGAATATTTCCTAGAGGCCTGGGCCTCCCCTCATCAGTCAAATTCTGTCCTGGGCCAATGTGTTCACAATCAACAGCTAATGGTGATCCTCAGGGTGTGATGACAAATATTCTCATCCTGGGTAACTGCACTCTGCTTTGAGTTGACATCCCCACAAAGCCTGTGCACGCAGCTAAAGGAAACCACACACAGGGGCCATGGCAGGAAGGCATGCCTGGGGCTAGTGTAGGGGAGATGAGGATGACTTTTGTAGCTCCAGACACTCTGTAGTGACCTAGGGGTTTGTCCCCATTTAAGTATAAATACAATAGACACTGAAAGCCAGAAGGGCACCTGTCCTGAGCCCTGCACTATTTTGTTAAGCTCACCAGAATGGCATACAAGTCCGGTATTGCAAAAGTCTGAGAAAGGAGTGGAGGGAGGGTGGAAACAGAAAATAAACCAACTAAACCAAGCCTTCTGAGAGTATCTAAAAATGGAATGGGCCTAGCCATAGTATGGTTTCACCCTGACCTTTTACACAGCCAGCTGTGGTTACCATGGGCCATTCAAAGACGTCAGAGACAGCTCACTGAGAAGCCAACACACACACAGAGATCAGAGCTGAGGATGGCAGAGACTCCGCGTACTGTTCCGTCAGCACTGAGAGGCTCTCATTTGGACAGGTAAGGGTAGGCGCTGCAATACTCTGCTTTCCAGGTTCTTCCTCTCTGCATGTTCCAGTCTTCCCACCTCTGTGCTTGGTCTCTGTGAAACTGTCCACACTTCCCTCTTTCCTCCAGATGCCCATGGCAACCAACAGTTTGAATGAGAGAATTCACACTGGAATCTAACCATGAAACAGCCTCGCAGGTCCTGGCTTTTTTCCTTCTTGACTTTCTGAGTCAAGGGAAAACACAACTTTGGTCCTGTTTGGGACTTGTCCTGTGGGTTTTATAGGAATTTGAACTTAACCTTTATTGGGGCCCATCAATTTGTATTTATGGAGGAATATGCCCCCGGCAATCAGATAAACCATTTCTTAGAGATGAACCACAGTGGTTCAAGTCCAAGTCCAAGGAGCTTCTAGTTTTACAGCTGTTAAGGGGGAGGGGGAGGGCCAGAACCAGACCTGCAGGGCACTGAGAAGGCAGGCTAGTGTACCTCCAGTCCTCGCTGCTCCCTTGGATATGCTACAGTAACCAGGAGGGGAAAAGGAGAAAGGGAGGGAGGAAGAAAGTGGAAATGAGAGTGAGTGACGGAGGTCAGTGTCAATGATCATGTGTAGAGGAAGGGGGTGAGAATCCTCTGAACACAGAAGATACTCTCTATAAAGAAACGATGCTTAGAAAGCTCTATCCAGATGTGCTCAGTGAGCATCAATAAATAAATTAGGCTTCTGGCAGGAAGTAGCATCATTTCACAACGTATATGCTCCCTAAAGACACATCCAATTAAATTTCATCCTTAGTTGGATAAACTAGAGTTCTAGGGGAAGCAGGTAAAACTCAGCACTTCCACAAACATTTATTAAGGCGTCGCCATGTGTCATCGATGTGGTTCCTGTCCTTGAAAAGCCTCCAATTTAGCAGGGAGTCAAGACTGATATTTATCAAACAATAGAAAAGCAAAGCTTTAATGAGCAAACCTGACCTCTAATTCAAAGAGAAGTTAATACCCCTCCTTCAGACACAGATCCCCTCTTTTCCACCTTGAGGGGCTCATCTCCCCTCCCAAACCCCCAGCACATTTTAAATAATGCCATGTATCAATTGTCACCTATTATCTTTAAGTTAGTGTGTGTGTGTCTTCTATCTTCCATTATTGTCCAAGTTCCTTAATGATACATTAAATCTTACACACTGTGCCCCCTCCATGACATGTGTGAATATTCATAGAAGCATTATTTACAATAGCCAAAAAGTAAAAACAACCCAAACACCCATAAACTGATGAATGGATGAATAAAATGTGGTACATCCATGAAATGGAATTTTATTCAGCCATAAAAAACAATGAATACTGATACAAAGTACATTTGGATAAGACTTGAAAACATTATGCCAAGTTTTCAAAAGAAGCCAGACACAAAAGACCACATATTACATGATTCCATTTATACGAATTGTTCAGAATAGGCAGATCTACAGAGGGAGAAAGTAGACTAGTGGTTGCTAGGAAGTGGAGAGAGTGGAGAATGACGAGTGATGGTTATGGACACAAGATATACTAATTTGGCAAGGTGATAAAAGTGTTCTAAAATTAGATGGTGCTATTTACTGCTCAAGTTTGCAAATATACTAAAATCATTAAATTGTACACTTTGAAAGGTTGAATTATATGGTATGTAATTAGACCTCATTAAAGCTGTTATTAAAAGCTAAAAAGGAACCTAAACTGTTACCAAGGTCACACAATCATCTGACAACTCAAATAAGATTAGTCAGACTGGCCTAGGCACTTTCTTAAATTTATTTATATCATACTTATTGTCTTTTTTTGTGCCTTTTTATTTTTCCATCTTGTTGAGTTTTGTCTATCTTTAAAGCCATT